GCCGTATTCTCCAGACGTTGCTCCCTCTGACTATCACTTGTTTCGATCAATGGCACACGGCCTGGCTGACCAGCACTTCCGGTCTTATGAAGAAGTAAAAAATTGGATCGATTCGTGGATCGCCTCAAAAGATGACCATTTTTTTCGACGCGGGATTCGCTGCCCGAAAGATGGGAGAAAGTAGTGGCCAGCGATGGACAATACTTTGAATCATAAATGTATAACCAGTTTTTTACAATAAAGCCTCGAATTTCGGAAAAAAACGGCGGAAGCAAAGTTGTACACCTAATACTATTAACTGAACCTTTCAGCAAGATTTTACTGATTGCAGTGCTATGCTAGTAACCGAAGCACCAGTTATAAGTATAGCATTTCAGTGAAGAATACACTGATTGTACTTCAGAGAGTGAGAAAACGCCGAATGAGAAGTACAATGAAAGAGCATTGGCTTGAACATCTTTGAATGGAACAGCAAAATGTTTTGAGATCAGTTTCTGTCCTAAGAGCTAAGAGTTAGGAATTAAACGTAGCTCTCCTGCTTCTTCCTGACGATACTTCCGGCCACGACCGCCGTGAGTAAAGGCAATCTGATCTGCTTGTCCGCGGACGCGTTTTCGTGCTCGGCGCACGGTACCTTCACGCTGCAACTCTTGTTGCTGCTGTGCCTGCGCCAAAAGTCCGAGTGGCTGCTGCTGCAGTTGGTCGAGCCGGTGGTGTAAGTGCCGGTGCGCTCCGACGTCTTCTTCTTCTTCCGCCTGGTAGGCCCAAGACCGCACAGTTTGAGGAAGCCTTCCCTGAATTTGGTCGACATAAGATTGTAGAGGATCGGATTGATCGCCGAGTTCAGATACAGCATCACTCGACAGAAGTACAGGAGGCTGTAGTAGCCCTCGATGCCGAGCGAGATCATCGTCCTCGGCGGCATGATTATGATCCAGAGAGTGAGGGCCTTGAACGGCAAGAGACACAGGAAGAAGCATAGTACAACCGTGCCCAACATCAGCACCACCTGTTTGCGATACTTGAGCAGATTGTTCGCCGGGCCGCGGCTGATCGTTGGATTTGCCATCAGGTGTCGTGCTATCACCGTGTAGAGGACTATCAGGATGAGCAGTGGTATCACGAAGAACACCACGATCGTCGTCAGGATGAAGCCAGTCATCCACGTGGCCGACGCCGGAGTCGTGCACGTCGGCACGTAGGTGCCGTCGACGTTCTCATCCATTTCGTACGTCACCATCAAGAGTATCGGGCTAAAAAAGGTCAGATAGAGAGGATAGAGATTATTATCATTATCAAAAACATTATATCATCGTAATTGACGCGCGTTTTGATGCAAATGATAGCGTTACAAGTGTCAAGAGCACCTCTGGTAAAATACAATGCCCCGCGATATCCTGTAAAATATACCGTTGAAATTCCCTTCCCTCGTTTTCTCTCTCTCTCTCTCTCCTCCTTCTCTCTTTATATATTATTTCATGACGTGTGTATATCCAACAAATATTGAGTTAACAAACTAAAAAATTGCCCGTACGGTCAAAGTTGGATGGAGAGAAGGGTGAAATCATTCGACATGGCGTGTATTTTGACGAGAGAGTTCCATTTATTTTCGTCGTGTCACGACGGGAAAGATATCGATACAACAAACACTCGTATGTCATGATATTGACATATCGAACTGGTGATCCACTTAATTTCCCGCAATACTAGTAACAAGATCACGCTGCTTAACACTGCGGAGAACTTTTCGTACGCATTCGCGCGAGACGCCCGACTGATTCGATCGAGAGCGCAACTTTCGCCGATCCTACAGAAGTTTAATATCTCACGGAGGACATAGAAAGTTCGTCGCGCGTCCACAGTCCCATCCAATCTAGCACCGCCGAGTAGATTCTGCTCCCCTCCGGAATTATCGAGCCTTAAGCTTCTCGCAGCGATTTATCGCACGACTGATCAAGATTCACTGTGACTTGCCAATGTCCCCTCATTCTATCACGTTAAGCGATACTTCCGATACTTCCATGTTCTTCATCGGGAAGAAGTGAAGCTTTCCGTACGTTCTCCTGTTCGACCACACGTCCGTGGTTTCTCCTAGTTCCTGTTTCGCCGCGACTGTATCTAATTATGATTCCGGATTCTTCGGCCTAAAAAATTGTTGGCGTCACATCGCGATCAACGCATCGCATCGTGTCCGATTATCGAGCATTGTCGTCATAGTAAATCCTCTTCCTGGTTCAGGTTCTCCTGCAGCTGATGCGTGGTAGCGAGCCTCCTCGCGCTGGCGACCATACTGCGACCTTTCTCGAGGCCGCAGAGCTTGAGGAAGCCCCTTCGGAACTTGCTGCTCATCAGATTGTACAGTATCGGGTTGCCAGCGCTGTTCAAATAGAGCATGATGCGGCTGAAGTTGAGCAGGCCGAAAAACGTGTCGGAATCGACGGCGGCTATGCGCTCGGCGGGTGTCACGACGATGTAGAAGATGAGGAGCCGGTAAGGCGACAGGCACACGAAGAAGCTCACCACCACGGTCAACAGCATGAACACCACTTGCCGCTTGGCGCGGCTGTGGTACGTGTCGCTGGTGTTGTTGCTGCTGGTCGACGTGGACGACGCGGACGAGTCGCGGACCAGGTGGCTGACGATGAACGAGTACAGCACCACGAGTATCGCGAACGGCGCGGCGAAGAACAGCAGCACCAGCAGCAGGAAGAACGTCACGCTGGCGACGGTGTCGGCCTGCGTCAGGCACACCGGCACCTGATTCACCTGAGGCACCATCATCATCTCCCCGTTCTCTTCTTCCACCGCGGTCGCGACGCTCCGGTCGCTTCCGTTAGCGACGACGGCGTGATGCGCCATGGCGACACCGTGATGCGCCATCCTCATTTCGCGATACTGCGATACCCAGATCATCGGGCTGCAATCAGTCACCAAGAAAAAAAAAAAAAGGAAAGAAAACAAGAGGACGCGTTTTGTGCCTCGTTACTTCGTCGCTTTGCTTCGCTCGGCTCGGCTCAGGTGGCAGTCGGTGGACTGCAACTTCGCCGACCGACGAAGTTCACTCGAATCAGGCAAGCGGATAGAAGGAGACGCAGAGAAGCGAAACGAAGTGTCCGATCGCACACACCGCGGCGCGATACTTCGTGGAGTGCGGAAAGTTCGTTGAAGAAACGAAGAATAGTGGAAGTGGCTTAGTCGTCATGTTCATGTGCGCACAAAAATGAGACAATCACAGGCAGATCTTATTTCGACCCTTTCTCACGTGTTGCAGTTTATGATATATATAAAAGAAATATGCAAAAGATAGTATGGTCATGTTAGTGACGATTGTCTCTACGTTATTGATGTTTTTGGAATTTGTTATCCACTTTGGCATTCCCTTAACACATAGCAACTACAAATAAGATGTGTTTTGTATTTTATTTTTCAAAATTCTTTAAAAAATAGCAATAGAGAGAGAGAGAGAGAGAGAGAGAGAGAGAGAGAGAGAGAGAGAGAGAGAGAAATCTAAATACGTTTATTTGAAAATAAAAAACCTGCCCTAGAGGGAACCGTACAGAAGAATTAATTAATAGATTTATAATTTGCTATTTTGTTTAGGCAACATCAGCAACAATTAAGCTTAGTTGTTATAAAACCAGCGGTGAATTTTAAATTTGCCCGAGGCATATACGTGTGTCGCCACAATAGCGAAAGGATTAAGAAAATTTCAGTTCATTGTTCATCAAGGTGTATAACGGTCGATTTTCAATTTGAAACGCTTGAAAATAGGTCATTCACAAATTTTAAATTTATTAAAACGCGCAACTGTACAAATAGCCTTGCGAACAGGTATCTTTGCGTTTTCACTCTGATGAAGTTATTGTTGTGCAAACTGCACGCTGGTACGCGCCATTTATCCGGAAAAAAAGAATAAAAATACCATTGCGAGAGAAATGTTCCGTTCCGCGGCGGAATGGAGCGAAATCGTTGTGCAACATGTATACGTAACGCAGTTTATTCTGCAGACAATAACGCTTACTCGTCAATTTGAAGAAGTGGATCAAGAGGATCCGTTAACTTCCACCCTTCTCCACTTCTGTAGCCGCGGAACAACCCGCCACCAACCACCCAGGCGAGTATCCCGTGTCGCTGGAACAACCCTCAGCGCAAAATTGCGAAGTGATAGAAAGGTTATCCTTCGTGGTTTTGTGGAGGCGGGAATAATAGCGGAGACGAGAGTCTCCGTACGGTCGCGTTCTCACGCTGTGAAACGGAATACCGCCGCGGTTTTTACGCTTCGTTTTTGGCGTTTTACACGAGATAACGCAGGTCGAACCAGAATTCAATCGTTGTCAGGACGGTAGGGCGGAGTCGAGTTTCCTCGAGTGTTTGAGGAAACGCGATTTCGATAATTGCGCTCCACTGCATCCCTCTGTCTTTCCCCCCCCCCC